TCATCTTTCCCAGGAGCTGGGAAAGCCCAGAAGGAGACAGTGTCTTTTCTCTGCAAACCCTGAGAACCAGGTCCCGTATACTGTCCCTGCGTTCCTGGGACAGATAGACCCGACACTCTACCATGTCTATGATGGCCCCTAAATGGAGCAACCTGGTTGATGGGACTGTCTGGATTTTCTTGAAGTTGACTGAAAACCCATGACTTTGCAGGACTCTGATCACCAGACTCGAGTCTGACAGAGCCCCCTGTGGTGAGGACGATTGTATTAATATGTCATCCAGGTAGCATTGCACCCGAACCGGCATCAATCTTAGATGTGCCACAAGAACTGCCAGGACCTTGGAAAAAACCCTTGGGGCCGACGAGAGGCCGAATGGAAGTGCCCTGTACTGGTAATGATGTCCCATGTAACAGAACCTGAGAAACTGGCGATGGCCGGGGGTGATGGGGATGTGAAGGTAAGCCTCTGTGAGGTCCACTGACGTGAGGTAGTCCCCCTTTCGGATGCTGCCCAGGATGGACTGAAGTGTCTGCATTTTGAACCTTCTGTATGCCAAATAAAGGTTCAGGCGTTTTAGGTCTAAGATTGCCCTCCATCCTCCTGAAGTTTTTGGGACTACGAAGAGGATGGAGTAGAATCCGTGTCCCTGTTGGGCCGCAGGCACCTGTTCTATGGCTTTGATGTCTAGTAAGTGCCGGATGGCCTCCTGCATGAGACCTCGCCTCAGGGACTTTTTTGATGTGGGCAAGCAATGAATCATTTTGGAGGACTGGGAATGAATTCCAGCGACAGGCCATGTTTGATGGTGTCCAGAACCCAGACGTCTGTGATGGTGACCTCCCATTGAGTAAAAAAGAGGGACAACCTTCCCCCTATGGGAGGATCTGGTGGGGGGGTCACTTCTTATGGAAGGGACGGCCCCCGCTCCAAAAGGGCCGTTTGGACTGGAATTGCTGTCTGGGCTGCTGGCCCGGCCTGTCAGCCGGGCGGTCCTGCCTCGGAGTGAAAGACCGGACTGGCTATGTGTTTTGAGGCGTGGTGGCCGTGCGAAAGGACTGCCTATGATTGTAAGGAGTAGGACGTCTGTCGGATCGTTTTGTCATATGGGCCAGAATCTTCTTCTTATCCTTGTTCTCTGATAGAAAAGGGACTAAGGCATCACCAAACAACTTACTACCCTGATATGGGGCTGCTGCCAAGTGCCACTTGGTCTTGGTGTCTGCCTGCCAGTGTTTTAAACAAAACATGCGGCGGGCGGTCACGTTGGACGCCAAAGATCTAGAGGAAAACCGAGTAGCGTGTAGGGATGCGTCGGAAGCATATTCCGTCACGGCTACTAACTTACTCAGGTCCTGGTGTGTGCGAACCTCCTCAGGGGGGATCTTAGCTTGCAACTGGCGGAGCCAGATTAGGGCGGATCTCGTGAAGAAAGAGGCTGAGGTGGAAGCCCTGATAGACCACGCTGCCGCCTGGTGCGACCTTCTAAAGGCCATTTCCGATCTGCGCTCTTCAGATTTTAGTGCCTCTGCCATATCCCCTGAAATAGTGGAAGGGGAGAACAAGTGAGACAAGGGTTCATCCACCGTGGGAACCTGCAATGCCTCCTCTAACTCTGAAGCCACGCTAAATAGCTTTCTATCATTCCCTCCCGGGAGGGGGAAGGTACCTGGGGAAGCCCACTGTTTCTTAACTGCATTGGGGAACAAAGTTGGGCATGGCACGTGGTGTTGAATAACCACCGGTTCCACAAAGGCAGGGTCTGTCTCTGGATCCGTTGTGGAAGCCTCTGGAGCGGGCTGGTTAGGTACGCCATGTGGAACCGAGCTAGCCTTGCGAAGGAGGGGAAGAAAAAGAGATGGATTAAAGAGCCCTCCGAATGGGGGCGGATACGGTTCCGGTTCCTCCTCCTCTGACCAAGGGGCGTCAAGAGCCTGATCCTGATCCGGGGTCAGTGAGACCCCGCTGAAGGAAGAATGTGAAGGAGACGGAGGGTCCTGAGAACTCTGGTGAACTGGGTGTGAGAGTGGAATGAAAGTACTGATTCCTCTCTGGGCACTGATGGGAGTCTGATCGCAAGGGCCCGTTCCAGTGCCTTGTTCACTATGGTCTGTATCCTATTGTCCAAGGAAGAAAGGGTGATCTCCTCCCCTCTGAGCCCCGTGGCCGTGGGCGTAAAGGTGGCCTCCGGGCCC